TTTAGGTTGGGTTTGTTGTGTAGAGACTTACTCGTTCTTAAGCTGGGCTTATTGTGTAGACTTACTCGTTTTTAGGTTGGGTTTGTTGTGTAGAGACTTACTCGTTCTTAAGCTGGGCTTATTGTGTAGACTTACTCGTTTTTAGGTTGGGTTTGTTGTGTTCAGATTTACTCGTTTTCAACGGTAAGACTGGCCAAACGTTCTTCTATAACGATAGGATCATTATATACTCGATGGTAAGACTGAAGATCAAATTTTCAGGTTGTGATCGAGAATAGTCTACGTCGACAATTATTTTGAGAAGTTTGTACCTCTCAGAAAAACGAGTAACCCTAGATTCAGTCGCTAACTGAAGAAAACTGCTGGGTGACGTCAATGAATAACATATTGAGAACAAACAATATCAGATGAAATAGTTAACGAAATAAGGTGCTTAAAATTTACATTTTTACGATGCAAGTACAAAAGCGTAATACTAGAATGTTATCAAGATACATCTATATAAATAATACGCTTGCGTCTGTCTGTCCGGAACTTTTCTCGCTACAAATCTTATATCGTTAGAAAAGCCTTTGTCTCAGGAGTCTGGATTGCATATTGACTTTTCAATTCAAAATCATCTTACCTTTTTTTTTGCTTAAACAAACTTTTCAATGCAACGAGTATGGTACACAATGGCACAATGTCGTTGTCATCACGTGACGACTGGCTTCGATTTCAACTTTAGTTTTTTTTTTTATTTGCAAAATATTTCACAAACACTTAACTCGCGTGTAATTTGCAAAAAGATATATATATATTAACATTACAATAAATACAATTCATATTCGGGCTTTCTCGACTTATTTGGGTCTAAAATACGCATGAGCAGTTCGTTCAAAACCATGTGCTTATTATTTGTGAACACGCATTCAGACGTTTCTGCATATTCATCTAAGTTGCTTTCATTACAACTTTGTATTTACTTTACTTTGTAATAATTTAGCTTCAGTTAGTTTCATAGACTGTTATAAAGCGTAGCTTAAATGATGTACGTGAAAATGATAGAATAAGGAAAATTCAATCGAACTACCGCAAATGTTTTGTGAATCGCGGTTAATAAAATAATAAAACCTGACTTAAAGTTGTTTTAAAATGCTCTAACATAGGTCCAAGTTTTACAGTCCTTCCCCCAGTGTAAAAGAAAATGTGTTAAATATTTGTAACGGTTTTAAAAACAGTTGGAAATAAGTTACTAAATATATACTATTTTAGCTGTGAGAATGTTTATCTTAGCATGCTTTTGTTATAAATATTTATTACTTTAAACATAGTCCTAGTTCTCATAAACTACAATTCTGTCATTGTAGATAAACACATCATTCATCAGAATCGTTTGTGTTTACTTATTGATTTTAAGTGTTTTGTTTTTACAAGGAAGGATCTTTATTTGAATTGTTTTTGTTCAGTTTCTGTCCACATATTCCTAATATTATCCTAATCTTTCGCAAAATATCTGTCACATATACAAATTCATCTAGTTTTTGTTGTTGTTGTTCAGCTATAAATAGATAATCTGTCAATCCACGCGTATTGATAAGCACATGCATGAATAACCACTATCGAGTTTCTAATTTAAATACACTTATATATTGTTTAATGTTGATTTAACCCTTAAAAACATGTGTACTTGAAAATGATCGCACTAGCCGTAACTGTTTAAAAATATATTCTTCCTGACTGTAAAGACTGTAATAAACAAAAATAAATCTAACAGCAGCCTCATAAGACGACCATGTTGGGTTTTAAAAGAAAGTAACAAATGATGTTATGGGACATCATAATTTTTTTTGAGGGGTGAAACCCAACTGAAGCTACCGCCCTTTCTATATTCCTCAAAACTAGGGGTCATTCGACCAATAAGAACTCGGAAGACACGTGGTTTGGTATCTCCAGACCTCCTCCGATAGATAAGATCTCCAACACCTCCCAATTTTGTATGTCATCCTTTAATCTCTAACCATGAATGACAACAAAGCTGTACGCCCTCTGTTGGTTTACTCAGTAGAGAGACTGGCACAGAGCGAAGAACAAACAGACTATGTAAATATATGCATGTGTTACATCGGTAAGCAAACTTGTGTATCGATACAACATGTTTGCTTCATCTATATTCACGGTGATTAAAAAAGGTCAAAACTCACTGCGTGGGTTTGTTGCCTATACTTCATTATCACAGAGAGACGTCGCCCATATTACTATACACCACGAATGATCTGCATAACACCCAACTCACATCGCCTCAAACCCAATCTTCGAAATACCATCTACACATTAAATATAATATAAAACCGCCTCATAACATAAACACAAAGCAGCAACTTTGCTGTGGATTAAATTACAGTATACAAAGATAGTTGCATGATAAACGCACCAGCAAAGGAAATAAGACCTTAAAAAAAAACAACTTCATGAATAACCTATCAATAAGATAACAGTTATTCAGTGATGAGCTGTGCATTTCAACAAGGTTTTATTACTATCCTGAACCTACACGAGTTAAGGCATTAACAAAGCGAAGAACAAACTTCGATCAAATTGTTTGTTTGTTGTTTTGAATTTTGCGCAAAGCTACTGGAGGGCTGTCTGCTAACCGCCCCTTATTTTGAAGCGATAGAACAGAAGAAAAGCAGCTAGCTATTCAACACCACCCACCGCTGGCTCTTGGGCTACTCAACGAATAAAAGGATTGACCATCACATTATAACGCCCCCACGTCTGGAAGGGCTCACATGTTCGGGAACGTATTTCGATCAAATTCAAAACAACTGTTAGGGATTCAATATGTAGTTGCGGGCGGACACATCAGAAAAGCTATCTTTGGTTCCAATACCTGAACACCTATCCAACTTATTCAAAGAAGTAACTCTCGTGAAGAGAGAGAGAGAGGGAGAGAAACTTCTTAAACTCTTTCGTTATCGAAGGCTTAATAAATATTGGTTTTCGAAACCTAGCGGCTGCCACGCTGTCTTATAGTCACAAATATTTGTTGTATTTATAGTGTCTCGTTTTTGACATAGTCTGTACAAGTGTGTTACCGAGAGCGCTCTTTTTTTCCGCACTCTGCAGCAACTGTTTTTGTCAGCTCAATTTGTTAAGCCTAAAAGGTTGTCCACGTCTTCTTAAGAGTTATATTTCATCCCTTCCTTTTAAGACTTAACGACAGAGGGGGCTAAATATGGATACTTTACTGAGTCGGAGTACCAAGAACTGAGAAATGATTTATGCATGAGAAACGATTCTCTCGTCCACCGTTTTCTATGTAAGGAACGTCAAGAAGAACTGATGACAAGAAAATGTACGAGCCTTGGCTAAAGAATGAATAGTATATGTCGCATCCGAGTTTGTTTTTTTGTTGTTTTTTGTTTCCATCTACGTCTTCATTAAACATTTCTGGCAACCTTTGTTGGCTGTTGGCTCGATTAAAGGAAGGACTTGAAACTGTTTATGCTGTTGATTGTTGTCCTGCAAGTCACCGTTTCTGTACAGATTGTTGTTGTTGTTGTTGTTGTTGTCCTGGGGTAGTGCAAGTCACAGTTTCTGTACAGATTTTTGTTGTTGTCCTGGGGTAGTGCAAGTTGCCGTTTCTGTACAGATTCTTGTTTTTGTCCTGGGGTAGTGCAAGTCGCCGTTTCTGTACAGATTTTTGTTGTTGTCCTGGGGTAGCGCAAATCGTCGTTTCTGTACTGATTTTTGTTGATGTCCTGGGGTAGCGCAAATCGT